AGTGAACGACCAATATCCTGGAATTTTTTGTAAAAAATCAGTAAAGCAAGCGAATATCAGTGCCAAGTTTCGGTGACAAAATTTATGATGTGCCTCTTCTTGGAGAGTTTCAAGAGGGGGTAGTTCAACGCTAATGAAGTACCACATCCTGAAATCCCCGTGGCGTAAGGAGGGTTTTTGTAAAGTAAAAAGTTTTCAAAAATGAGCCGACAGTACAGCTGATTTGCCCAGCTCGAGCCCCCAGGCAAAATCGCTCGTCTTGTAGATTCGCTTGATGTATCAGGCACCACGCTATTCTGAGGCACCAGTTCACAAGCAAGTGGTTTTAAGCCCGACCATAAAGCAGGCCATCTTCCGGATCCAAGATACCAGCCCAAGCACAAGTATTTTTGCTGTTCTAGAGAATCAGTTCACAGAGCAGAATCACTTTCTATTCCCAGCAGCCCATAATGAGGTCGAATTTACTTTTCTGAGTTACGCTAATTTACATCACACGCGGCCTACAAATCTGAAGTACCACTCTCAGGCAACAAGTAAATATAACAGTCGTTTGACTACCGCTACGTATGTCGCAGAAAGTAAAAGATAGAGTGATTTTAAATTTTTTTTTAAAGAACAAGAAATGGCAAAAGAGAGGCAACGAGAATGGAAAAGAAAGGATTTTTCTGGCAATTTTAATACTTTTAAGTTTCACCCTCTAATCCAGGGAGCAAGCAGGGCACACAATGGGGATTAAATTCGAACTATGACAAATCGGTGTGCATGTATTCGCGTCTGTATGTGTGTGTATGTGCATATATGTATGCGTGTATGTGTGTGTCTCTATGTTTGTGAATATGTATATGTGCATGTATATACATCTGTATTTTTAGAAAAAATGCGGATGTATTACAAAAATGTATGTAATTCCTAATACACTATATGTATTGTAAACGTGAATAGCGGAACCTCTGCATAATTATTGCACATATATATATATATATATATATCCAAGTCGTTATAAAAATGTGTAGGTAGGTCTCTTTTTTAAGTAATACTGCGTCTTTATGTGTAGATTTAAAAAAAAAGAAAATATACTTTTGGACCCTAATTTCGCCTAAGTTCATAAATCTAAATTCACTTTTTTTCCCAAAAACCATTTCCACAAACTTCCAGTTCAAAAAAAGTCGAATAAATTTTAAGCCAGCTGAAGACGAAAAAAGCTAATTTCATAAATTCACTAAGTTCGCTTAAACGCATGCTAAATTACAAAACAAGAACTGTTGGTCAACTGTCTCGCTTTTCTTAAACCCTTGACTAACAACTGCTTTTCAGCTCTATGGCACGTTTTTAATTTCAAAATAATTCCTCGATTCATCAGATGTGCGTAACAAGTTGATTACGATAAAAGTAAGTTTGCATCGCTTCCTGAGATAGATGCTTCCCTGATTATAAATCAATGGATAGATCTAGCAGTCAGGTCAGATCTAGATGTTTTAAGAGGTAGAAACTAGAAAACTGACGGGGAAGAGGGAAAATAAGAAAAAAAGGGAGAGAGTGAGGTAAGACGTTTCGGACTCTTAAGTCATATGCGCCTTAACACCGCAACAGGAATTCGACAATGCTGTGAGGTTTTTGACTCGCTACTCAAAAAAAAAAGAGGATAAAAAGGTACTCGTTTCCAAAGGGTTCTTTTCGGGATCTTCGTTATGCCATCGTGTTTGGATCTTCGCATAACTTCCTGAGATTTCTGGTGGGACGGTGCAACGGCTGACAGCCTTTGCTCATCAGTTGGTGATGGTGTCGAAGTTACGCTCCCCATTTCAATCGAAATATCCGTTGTTGTACTGCCGGACTGGCAAACTGGATGGGGTGACAGCGGCGGCTTCTGAAAGGTTTTCTGAAAGCGTAAATTATGAAAAAAGCATGAAACCAGGCGTTGGTTGTAGTTGTGCCAAATTCTTTATCTTGTCTTGCGTGCTCCATGCCTTTCCATGCTACAGATATGAGTAATTCCCTCTGAGGTCATCCGAGTGGCCATTTCTTTTTGTGGTGCCGTTTAATAATACGCCATGTCCAGTGACCGCTGGGGAAACGAGCGATTCGTTTTATCAATTTAGCTAGACAGCCTGGCCAGAATAAACTATTTATGGTTTGGCTGCGCTTAACTATATGCATAATCAATTTCATGTTCCGTTTCACTGCAAGATCAATACGCCTTTGATTTTCAAAGTTTTGATTAAAGTTTTTGCGAATTACTTTTGAAAATAAATAGAGTTTTGATCAAAGCCTTGGAGCATTTACTTTTACAAACACAAGCAATTCTCTAGTTTTAGCGGCCCTTGGCCAATATGGGCAAAAAGAAGACCTGCATGGCCTCTTTTCGATTTCTATCCTCATTTGCTGTAATATTCAAGCACCAAGTTAAAAGTTAAAACCCCATCCGTATTCGCGCTTGATGAAAGGCACAGTCATTAGTAAGTAGCCCTGTGGTAGCATTTGCTAACGGTAACCAATAACTGACAGTGCTACCGATGGCTAATACAAAACTGAAGTACTAAAATAAAGTAGAAAGAGTGGAAGCTAAAAACTAGTCCGAATTTTGCTTCATCTCAGGTGTCCCTGATTATAAGCAGAATTCAAAGCTCTTCTAAATCCAGCGTTTACGGAAAAAAACAGCTGTTTTATGGGTCGAAGAATATGCCACTTCCGCGCGCACCCACTGCTCGTCAAGAATGGTCAGTGGTTTTTTTATTCACCAGAAAACCTGTGGAACATCTACGGCCAGACATGGTCGTTTTCGATCATCACGCAAACAAGATCTTCGTGATGGAAGTGTATGTAACCAACGCTACCGGATTAGAACTCCAGCGTCGGTTAAAAATAAACTTTATTCATTGTTTTTAGCCATCTCTTAAGATTGATTGTACAAGTTAGAGGTGGATTGAGCCCTAAAGCATATTCAGATGGATAAAGCCAACCAGAAAAAGCATAGCGCTTACCCAACTTCAAACTTTGAAGCACAGATTTTGTTCAGGAATCTAAAAAACACCACTTACCTTACTGGCCACCGAATTACAAGCAACAGCAGTAGTACTATCTACTCCTTTTAAATTACTTATTGAGCAAGTGGAATTATTCGGTTCAGGTCCACTGTTAGTGGTATCAGGTGGTTGCCCAGTCAAATCGAAGCGACTAGACGGCAACGAGTCGATTTCAGCAAGGATTTGTGAAGTCCATCTGAAAAATATGAGATCTGCTGAAAAATAGAGAAGTGTAGCATCATACAATGCCCAAATATTTAGTAATAACTACAGCAGCTCAATATCTTATTTGCCCCCAAATGTGTTGTCAGCGCCGAAACATTTGTGAATATGTTATCCGGCACCAAAGGATTCGTGGATGCAGCCAATTCAGAATGCAACAGGATGGGGAATTTGCCAGTTGCATCGACGGCGAGAAGTAACACGACGATTAAACAGCAGCTAATCAAAGGAGGGAAATTGCCTCGATAAAGTGATGAGGTAGTGGTAGGAAAACACTTTACCTCACCCAGATGCTAAGAATCGGATAAATATGTTTCTTAAGAGAACCTTTAGTAAACCCAATCCAAAAAGCTGCCCCACGTTTCTTGGCTTCAACTATCTTTCAACCAAGCAAAGTGCATGAGAAACGACCGTGTCAGGCGCTTGACATATGCACATTCATGACCCTTAAAGAGACCATCTCAAATACTTTACTGGATAAAGACTACGTCAAATGCTTTGTCTGGTTCATTCGCGTGGACTGAAATACTTTGGTTCATTCATGTGGTTCGTTCACGTGGACCAAATGGAATTATGTGAATGAGAGATGCCCAAAAGAAAGAAGAATGAAGAAGTTCTAGCTAAATTATTTCTAAGAAAGAACGCAGCAACCTATTAACGTATCAAGATGCTGTGGTGGTAAAAAAGTTGATATGAAACTCTAAATCCGTGGGCCGAAACATTCCTACATAACTTTTTTTCCAGCGATGTTAAATTACGTTGATAATTTTTATATTTTATCTATAATTACACATAACAGTGAAAAAAAAAACCTCGTCACTGAATCCTGATTGGTGAAATCGATCATCGCACCGTTCAACTCACGAACAGATAATGAGCGTCGGACAAGAACCTTTTTGGATTCCGCATTCTCATTGTGCAAATTTAACCTGAAAAACTACGAATCCCTCAGTTTGAAAAATCCCCAGAATTTCCATCTATTGATCACAACTTGCAAGTATGTGGATGGCGCGCCTTCCATGGATTGCTCAGACAGAGGCAGACAGCTGCTTCAATTTTCTGGCAGGCTGAAGGAAACAGTGACATTTTTATCGTTGAAAAAGAAAAAAAGTCGCAGTTTTTTGCTCTCAGGTTTTTTTGAGGTACAATCAC